ATTCAGAACAAATTCTGTAAGTTACAATACGAGCGGATCAGTGTAACATCAGAAACAAGTTTAACAAGACTGGAAAGGTGTACTATGTAAAGTAAACTATAGTTCCGAAGATGTTCATGTCACTGCCAATGGTCACTGACATATGGCAGCAAGATATTACAAAAATATAATAAAGAACTGTAAAACGTCATAATAATGGTGTCTATCCTTGAGTCCACTGTCAAAATCACTTTCAACTACCAATGGAACTTCATAATTTATAGCAAATATTCTAGTATTGTTGAGATAATAAAATCTAAGAGGCTGTGATAGGCTGGGCATCTGGCTCTTACAAGAAGACAAGGGAAATTTGGTGGCAGAACCTCTTGGAAAGTGCTGACCAGGAAGATCAAGAGTAAGATTACGAATAAGAGGTTAGGTAACATTAAAATGGATCTCAGTGATGTAAGTTGTGAGGATGCAAAATGAAGAGAACTGGCTCAGAATCATGTCATGTGGTGGTTCTTAGTATCAGTGATATTGAAGTTATCAGAGAGTGGGTTACATTTTAAAACAGACAAGTAATATTCCAGATAAAACAAATGAGGCTCAACTTTAATTATGTTCCATGATAAAATTATCATTTAAACATATTACCCTTTTATGTACAGCTGTAATAAAATGCTAGGCACACTGTACTTTATCATAGACCAATTGCCAAACTTTAGTGTTTTCAAAAAAGTGCATAATATTCTGGAATCAAAATTTTCAACAGGCACAGTTTAAAGTAGCATTAAAAAGATACCTATAAGCACAATCCTATTACTCTGCTGATGAATTCCTCATGTTTAAAAATGACATAATCTTTCTAAAGATATTTTTGTTTTTATACAGTGTAAATTATCTGCTGTACATGTATTGATTTAATGTACCGTTTGAATATTTTATGTAAAACTGTTATAATATTTTGAATAGTATTTGTCTGTTATGTTTTGCATTCCATTTGTTGTTCTAATTTTTTGGATCCACTGAATGTATATTCATATTATTTTTTACACACACATATATATATAAAACATGAATAGTGAACAAAGGGAAAGACTGGCAAACAGTCCATCACTGAGGATATCTCATGTCCAAGTATTTGCCTTTCAGTTGGCAATATGTAGGTCTGATACTGAGCAAGTTTTACCATTCGGTGAACTATGATTTAATTAAAAATTGAAAATAAAAATTATATAAAATTCAAAATTAAAACTCCAAGTATAGTTTTATGATCCAATACTATTAATGCAAATTCTTTCCTTTGTAGTTGTATGTCATCAGAATTATACTATATGGCCAAAATGTGATGTATGGCGGAGATCAACCAAAGTATTATGCTTAAAGGACAGAAAGGCCCGAGAATACAAAACTTCTGAACTAATAATGCCAAAATACTATAATCTGTTACTGATGTCGGTGACCATGCCTGAAGCTACCTCAAAATCACGGGCAAAGAATATATAGAATTTGTAAATTACAATATGTACAAACTGAAAACTACGAGTTTAAAAATTCGACAATAGACTTTGTTTAATGGATTTCTCAATTGTGACTGGCCATTTGAAAAACCAAGAAATCTATGCTTCAGAACGATATATTTATTGACTGATATGAGACCTCTGATATGTGATTTGTGAAGTCATTATGCCTTTAAGATCTACCAGTACCACCATATTAATAAATGCTGTCAGCTATGGTATATAATATTTATACAGAACACATAAAACATGAATACACAATGGGACCTATAGTACAGAGTTTTGTTCAGAGAATGGAACTGAAAGGCTACAGCCCAACATATATATATATATTTACAAATCTATTCCAAGGGATGAAGACAAACAAGCATGAACACATCACATGTATAGTTATTTATATATTATATGCAGTTTTTCTATAAAGGAACAATAATTTTTGTTTACATAAAGTAATGAATATTCACATATACATTTATAAGCGTCATGTTTCATGTACAAATGTTTTGTCTCATTTGCTTTCACTACTTGCATACACTATGACCATCTTCCATAAAGTTTTCTAGTACGTATAAATATAAGTCATGACAAACTGAATGTAGTTATTACAGCTGATATTAATGTTTGCTCTGCAAACATCATTACATAAAAAGGAGGTACATTCTAATATTTAATTACTTTATAATTTATTTAATTATATAAAATTACTGAGTTAGCAATACCAAAAACCATGTGGTATGTGGTCATAGTTACATGTTTAGAAATTCATGCACTCAAACGCAGACATGAAGTCATAACAATACAGTCTACTGAATACAATTCAGCAGATAGACTTATGTCTTTTTTCATCCAAATGTCTTTATTAATTGATAAATGTGTTTCAAACACAAATTTTTAAGAATATTCTTATAACCGACAAACATACTGTGAACCGTCTTACAACCGTTTCAGACATACCAATTTTCTTACGGTCAGTTTCATTTTTCTGCTGCTTGTACAAATGCAATAATTCATCAGACAACCGATTCAAATCACAACATGAAACAACACTCTGATGGCCACTGACTAAATCCAGTATGCGCTGATATTCTTCACATGTCATCTCTCTTTATTATACTCATCTGTCTGAAAAGACTAGAACATAACAACAACTAAAAATTAATGATGTGTGGGGATGCACACAAGTTGAGCTATTCAAGTCCACCAATTTGCCTGTTATGTTGGAATGTCTTCCAGCAGCAAAACTGACTAGATTTATGAAAGGACAAAGACTGTCAGAGTTTGTCAGATGGAAGACGGGTCGATGAACAACATGGCGAAGATACACCAACACTTTGTTCTGATGACCTGATTCCACCCATGAGTGGATATGATGTGGCTCGTTTTGCAGACCTACAAAAATATTAATACAATGGCATCAATAAAAAGAAGTTATTGTACAACTGCTCATTATGCTCAATTAATTAATGATTCCTGTCCATATTCTGATCAAAGATTTCATCAGACATGTATGAGTCTACTGCAGCAGTAGTTCACCATGCAATTAAGCATAATTATTATGAGACAAGTAAATATACTAGAAATGGCACAAATGTTAATACAGCATTTTAGCAAATACAAGTTCAGATATTCAAAGTATGAAACTTTAAATAAATCCCAATGCTCTGGCAATTGCTGAACAATGACGTATTTTATTTTAAACTTATCACATGTTTAAGTGTTTTAAAGTTTAACGATTGGTGTACATTAAAATGAAGTGTTAGTGAATAAAATTTGTCTTACCACTAGCCATGAATAAAATAATTCAAGTCAAGTGTGTGGTTTGATAAACTGACAATTCAGGTAAATGTTCAACCATGTTCCAAGGCCATGATAAAGAAATAAATGCATTGTTCTGGTCTGGGGAAATACTGGGGTGGTTAATACTTATCTTTATTATTCCAATACATCCAATTACAATAAGATGATCACTATTCACAGCAGAAATAAATGATGATGAAAACACAAATTATGAATTGCAGTTTTATGGGTAAGAAAGAGACTTCTCTTTCTAAAGAGTGTTAACTAAAATTTCTATACGTATGAACAGCCATCTTGAAAACATATTTAAGAGAAACTACAGACTGTGGACAGAACAAGAAAGGAGGCAGTACGAGACAGGCAAATGTTTGTTAGACAAAATGCTGCAGAAATAAAGATCTGAGTGGAATGGCCATGTTACACCAATGGCCAGCAACAGCTTCAGACGAGACAGTGAAGTTAAAATGACACATTGGAAGATCAAAGAAGGTGATAGTGTAACCCAGTAAAAATAAATTTTGAGAAACAGAAAATGTGGCATCACTAAGTGATGGCGGCCAATGGAAGTAATGTTGGCTGTGACCCACATCTCCCTCAAAACTGTTACACTTTTCTCTCTAACATTTCCCCCTGCATTCCCCTCCAGCTGTCTAGCCACTTTGTTCACAGGAATGTTCGTACTGATAATCAAGAGAGAACTGGTCCTGGTCTGAGCATAGCTCAACCAGGGAAACCAACATGTTTTCTGTCCTCTTCCTCTTTAAACCTGATGACAAAAGCAAAATTCATGTTTGAAATGTTGTGATTTTATGATTTTATAATCTAGATGATGGACGACATCCAAAAGAATAGTTTTACACATAACACACCATCATCCGAGGCCTTAAAACAATGACTGACAGTCTTTCAGCGCCATCATCTGAGGCGTTAAAACAATGACTGACAGTCTTTCAGCTGGTAATGAAATTCCTTGCCTCTTATGGAACCTGCAATGCATTATCATGTTCACATGAGCCCAACACTGGGCCCTATCCAGAATAAATTGAATTATTAACATTAATAATTACACATGTAATGAGATGCTTAAGAACAGTTAAAAGATGGACTGGACTATATCAAGAATGATGATATTAGGAAAGAACTGAAAATAGAATCAGCACAAAATGAACACAAAGTTTGAATTAAACCATTTGGCTAAACTGACTATCAGATTCTGCAGTATAAAACCAAAAGGATTCTGACACCAGGGCAGACCTTGGAAAACACGAAATAAGTTTGTGTAGTGAATAATAACAACAACAATGTAATATTAAGATCATGTATTATAAGAGTAATGTAATATTCAATTACTTTTAACCTCACTTCCAAGTTCAATAAAAGCTGCTACATTTCCAACACTATGAAAATATATAATAGCATAACAAAGACAGTATTAATGATATTAGATCCATTACTGTTAAAGTTTTAGTGGGATAACTAGATATGCTTTTAACATTTTATCTGGAGTACAATCTAAATTACATATTTAATTGCTCTTGTCACTAGCAATACCATAAACCGAGTGGTTCTCATTGCTCTGATGTTGACAGTCTACACAACTCATGTTATGTTATACCCTCATATTAAAAGTTCAAGTTTATGTCTTAGGTATCAGTAATTCAATTATTAATATTTTATTTTAAACTAGTGTTTAAAATAATACATTTATGTGTAACTGATTCAGTGGATGAATTGTGGAGGTCTGTAAACTGCAGAGTGTAAATTATTCAGTGTAACAAACTGTGTCTCACAAAGAACAAAGGAAAACACAGAAAAGATACACTGTTAATGCCCAGTCCACTGTTGCATTATGTAAAGCAGAGTTTCAATAAGAACACTGTGGAAAAGGAAAACTGATGCCCAAATAACTCCAATTCATGTTAAGTAATTATAGAGCGATACTACATATAAATGTAGACAAATTAAAGACTTACTCTTCCACAAGAAACCAAAATTCCTATTATGTTTCTAAGAGGCCTCTTGCTTGCAAGGAAAGAAGAACTAATTAAACTGCCATTAATTTGGAAATGTTTTAATTAAAAAAGGCATGCACTGTATTACACACTGAAGAATAAAATATTTCAATCTTCTTTTTAAATTTAAAGAGTAAGCTTTTTTTTGTACCATTGGGTTGGATCCGACCCCTGGTGACATTATGAACAGGATTCCTCTGATAGGGACCCGTTCATATGTTTCCTCGACAAATGATCCAGAAGTGGTTTGCCGTTACCTTCTTCTGTGTGCTTAATGTCAAATGATGATGAAAATGGAGTAATTGTTGGGATGCCACGGAGAAACCGGGGAAACCCTGGAGGAAAACTCTGTGATACCTGGACCACGGCCTTGCCCAAAACAAGTTATAAATTCAGGCACCACCGGGAATCGAACCCGGGATCCCAGGATTACAAGCCCAGCATAAAGAGTAAGTTACCAGGTAATAATTAGTGTTACATAAATGTGGCTGTTAAATCATCCAATAAATTTCTGTCAAGGAGTAAAAATGTTTCATCTTGGAGAAATCACAAACAGTAAGCTCAAATTCAAACACTATTCAATATCTTTTCATGCTAATATTTCTCTTCCACCTTTCACACAAACTCAGTGACATCTCTATGTAGCATTTTCAAGAGACAGCATTACATTAACACAGTCATTGTAATGTGTCAGACAATTTCCATTGTAGACTGTAACAAACGTAAAATACAGTCAAATGTAATTGGTCGCAGAGAAAATAAGGCACTAATGTAATGAAGAACTGACAAAATATAACACTGTAAGTTTCAACTATGCTGTGAATTGCCTAGAACAGAAGTATAGAGAACTTGTAAGTACTTGCTGCAGAAATTTACAATGCACATAAAAAACAGAGTTAGCTGGGAAATGCGGCTCCCTGTTCCAGGTGCCAATGATTCTGTGCACATTACAGTAGCCTCAGTGGCTATGCCTGTTTGAACTAGCCAGTAGTGAAGTTTTTTTCTACAGTTCACTTACGCTGAAGTCCAAGTTATGTGTGCATGAATCTGGTATTTTTCTCAGAGCTTTTCAAAGTTCAGCAATCACAGGAGATAAAACTACCAATTCTTGTTATCTGAACTTCAGGTTATTCAAGACCAAAACTACTACAATATACTACAGTAAAGGCTTACAAGGACAACATAATTTTAGATGTATTAAAACAATATTGGGCAATACTAAATGTGAATTCATAATTCTTATTATTTTCCGAATATTTCCAAAAAGTGTACTTAAACACAGTGAAACCTCAATGCAATGCAGGCATTGGGGTTGCAGCTTCAAATCTCATGTTAAAAGTGTATGACATAAAACATATGTAATAGCATTGTGGGACATGCTCAAAGCCTGAACCTGCGGTATAACTTGGCACATTATATCAAGGTTCAACAGTATCACATAAGTGGTAAAATGAAAATGCTACATGAGAAACCCACTCTATTGTGTACTGGGCATTAAATGAGAAACCAAACTTGGATAGTTACCATAGATACTGCACCTGCCTGTTTATCTCGGCTACACATGACTAATGTATACTTTTCTCTTTGTGTAGAGGCTGTTGCCACAAGCAGGGGAAGTGGTCGCAGCCTCATTGCTGAAACAAATCAGGACTCCATTCACACCCCCCACTAACACAAATACAAACACAATGCCATCTGGGGTAAACACTGCTTCATATGTAATCACACCAACTTTTCAGGATTTATTACGTGGAGAACAAGTTAACACAATCCATTTACAACATCATATCTAAACAATGTCTATGTTACAACCTCTCGTGACTAGAGGGCTATGAATGAAGAATGTAAAGTGTTCTAGCCATCTAAATCGAAGAACTACAAATACTAGACACATGAAAAGATAGCCCTTGTGACACTCATAGTTTAAAATACTTGGAACTATAAAAATTCTGGTTTTGGGTTTCTAGATATGACCTAAATACATGTTATGCTTCTTAAATATAAATTTCAAGTCAGTTCATAAAGTAAGGTCTTTTTGATATTAAGTCAGTACAAGTCTTGTGCTGGGTACAAACTGATTTTACTCCCCGCTACAAAAAAATTGAGTATAATTTATTACCTGTTACGTGCTACTAATTTCAAAAATGAAATTTTGCTCTGATGTACGCAGGTTGCAGAATATATGTCCTAGCATACAACTGTGCTGTCCAGTAGGATTGTATGTCATGTAGTTATAATCTATAAAATATTAACATCACGGATGCAGGCACAAATCTAGGTTAGGTTGATTTATTCATTTAACACTCCCAAGTTGCCTGCTTATCGTACAACCACTCCATAGAAAACATGATAATTTTGTACTGTGTAGTCTGGTAGATGTTTACTAGTGTTTCTGAGGTACTTCCTTGCTCCACCAGCAGGATGATGATAGAGGCAGCAAGTACCTCTAAAACGTTGGTGAATTACCAGACTACAACATCCCAGAAAACAGTCACCTTCAGTTATATTGTTGTACATGGATACAAACACAATACCTAATGCAGTATTCTGTTTTTACAGTCTCCTAACACATATCAAAAGCAGTGCTTTTCACCAGACAACAAGGATGGAGCATAGGAACAGATAATAACAACAACAAAAATAAACACATCGTTTGTCACAAAAATAATTTTGGGGATCTGAATTCACAGTAAAAACTGGTACCGGATTACATGCAGTGCAAAACTGAACAATAAGGTCAAGAAAGAAACTAAAATAACCATGTTGTAAGTACGCAGAAAACAAACAAAAGGACAATGTTTCAGATTAACCATGTTGTAAGTAGGCAAAAAACAAACAAAAGGACAATGTTTCAGAGTCCAAAATTATTAACCAAGGATAATGAATTGATACAAAAGCCAGTCACACAAAGAACCTGCATACTCTGACATCATACTCCACTTCCAGGAATTTGCTACACATAGACAGATTTCATTTCACCTGTGAAACAACAAAAATTGACCCCAAAACATTCTAAATACAGTGCTATAACACAAACATTTCATGTGCCCTATAAGCATGCCTTAATAATATGATAATGGTGTTCAACCTGTTCTGAAATGGCCTGCCAATATATGGCAACCTGGAGCACAAGACATACATTCTCAGAATCAAGACACATAGCATGTCACACATTTTCATTAATTTCTGTAAGTACACTAAAAATTGGCCCATTCCCATCCTACTACTCAAATAATTTATATTTTCAGCTTAATTTTTCCCACTGCCTGCAGTGCTTAAAATGAAGTTAATGATAAATTTTGATACTAAAGCTAACAGACAAATACATGCAATTTCTGTTATCAGTTATATACACAGTCTGACTTTAAATGAAGCAAAGAGAAATAATGCCCTTTGCTTGATCACAGTGATGCAGCACAACAGTTAAAAAAAAGCACGTAAGCACATGTTCTCGCAGGAGTAGGAGGGAACAGGCATTTACATGTCTTACCACTTATAGTAGTTGTGGACATGCGTCAATAAAAACTTTATATGATCCTTGTTCTTCCTTGGCCTTCCAGCCTAAGGTTGGACACCACTGAAATAAGGCAAAACACAAATACTAACTAATATTTCAAAAAGTGTAAGATAATTCAAGGAAAATGGAGTAAGATTATAGGTGTTTCAATTACAGGAGAGCTTTACAGTGAAATCTCACTACAGCTCATTTCACATTAGCATAAATAAGAAGAACCAGATGATGAATGAGGTGCCATCAGTGGCGTATTAGTTCTATTAAAATTAAATTTGCTAACCATTATAATATGTGAACAGAGGATTTAAACCTCTAAAGTAAGAGGCTGTTGACAAAACTTCTGGGGTGTACATTTAGCAGTATGCTACTGCAATGCACAGCCAACTTGACAGTGCATCAACCATGGTGCAAGGCAGATAAAGGTTACCTCCAACCAAAATCTCACATACATAATGTAAAAATATTTTAGTCACTCATACTTCACTGCAACATAAATTTAATTATCGCATGTAAAATATTAAGAATACATATTTCAATGCAACTGTAGAATAAATTAAAAAGAAGCAAAATACCTACTTAATTGACCCCAGACTGTAAAATGTAACATTCTCTAAAGCTACCAGACTCCTTCATATTTGCTTTCTCCTTATGTAGATAATCAGATGAAGCATTACAGAGATTGGTAGCACTCACCACCATGACAGAGGGGCAATGTGGCATATTGCTGACCACATGACTTGTGTTTGAAAATAATTATACAAATAAAATATGCAGATGAAATGAGAGGAAACAGACATAGTTCGTGTTGGACAATAAAATAAGTTTCTCACCTTTATTTAAATAGATGAAACTTTCATTTTATTTACTTTCCATTCTATTATAATTTTAGTATATAAAACACTCTGAGAAAAATATGAGCTCTCAAGAAGTATGTAGTAGTGAGCTTTCACTGAATAAACTTTAAATAAAAATTCAGTGTAGGAATTAAATGCAAGAATTACAGCAAATTAAATAAGAAGACTTAGAAGAAGAACCGAAGACAATCCCACAGAATACGGCACTGTTTGTAATGGTAAACATCCACATCACAGACAGTCTCTAAATTCTTTTTCTGTTAGGCACACTAATTTCCACATCTCTTCCCAACTTTGTATCAAATTAGAAGACTTCTATGAAAGAACACGAACACTCACCTTCGTCTTCTGAGGGATGCATTCTGTCCGGGCAAACCAAAGTAACCTCTGGGGATAACCATCCTAGCATTGCCTTGTGCAGGTCGAGAGCCTCCGTGTGCCAACAGGGTGGTCAAATGGGCAGCATATCCATCCTGCAGCACAGTTGCTAGTGTGTGGTGCTTCTTGGACACCTTTCCCACAATAAATATTTGTTTTGATCTCAGGCCAATTGAAGTATATACACTGATGTCTTTACTGCTGCCATATGCTACATGAACCACCAGTCCATGTTCCTGTAATATACAGAAAGACCATAAAAACAGAACTCTGAATTGGGTTTATTGATGATACATTTGACACACTTCAAGCCATCTTATTTTACATTCTAAATAAAATGACCTTGAAAAAAATTGTGAAGTTACACTGCCATCATCATTCAAACATGTTCCATGCATAAAGTTCTGTATGAGTAAGCAATTTATTAATTAATAGCAATTACCATTATAAAACTAAAATGCATATCTATTCTACATGACTAAAACAATTTTCCACATTACAATTATAACACAAGGTGCATATTTAAAATAATCACACTGACATATAAAAAGAACTTGAATTCTGAATTGCTTGCACATATTCATGTAAGCATATTCTCCTAGCACTCGTGACAGGTCCTGACAGAGTTACTGGCCATAAATTGTTTAATGTTTTGCACAACAAATTACATAATTGGCACAGAATTTCAATAAATCATGCCATACATTTTAAAACTAATGTGTATCAATTTTCAGAATACATTAATAGAAAAATTTGTTTCCCTTGTCAAAACTACTTGTGTTACTTTGTTTAGCACTGGACACAATTAAACTGTAATTTAACTGTTCGGCAGTAAAATGATAAGTACCTGTATGAGGTTCTTGAGGTAAGTTGCCTTGTGTCCCAAAGGGTCAGTAGACAGTCCATCAGCAAAAGACACCAATCCATGCGGAAAGTTGTGCTGTGATAGCCATGAGACAACCTTATGCTGTTGCATGTCAGGTCTACCTGTGATATATATTATCAGGTATCCCAGCTCCTGCCAGTGCCTGCAAAAATAAAGCAGTGTGTTGTCAGTCATCATGGAAATTACACTTAACCTGCAACTGTGCTGTGTTGCCTCAGAAAACAACAAACAAATCCAAGAAGAAACATCATGAAAAGAGATCTGGTGCATACTATAAATAGAGGTATAGACAAACATCATTTCAAGGCACACTTCTTTGTAAAATACAAAATCTATACACATAAGAGTTACGCATATGCAAAACAAACACTTTTGCAATATTTTAAGCACATGCAATGAAATGAGATAAGAAATATAAAATCTGCTGCATCTCAGTTTCAAAAACCAGTAAGCAATACCATTTAAAACTGATTCACTAAATAAAGTGAACGCCAGAATGAGATTAAATATTTTTGGAGATCAAACTAGGCACATTGCTAGAATCAGAACCTTCATTTCAGTAGAAGTAAAACAACATTAGGAACTTTTAAAAAGGCAAACTGGTGATGTATTCACATACATTGTTTTCATCATATCAATATGCCAAATGATAATTTAATATATACACACACACACACATCCCCCCCCCACCTGGAATAGAGGAGCATAGGAAATATGTCAGTTCTGTGTGTAATGAGAATTCTTAATCATATACTCACTGTACTTTTTGTAATAAACATAACATTTAAATTACTGCTATTGCATAGAGGGACAGACATTTTGTTTACACAAGCGAGAACTTTGTTTAAACTGAGCCCGTATTAACAAGGGTCCACTTTCATTTGTCCATAAGAGAGAAGACAATAAGGTGTACTGGACACTTAATGATATGAGAAGATTTTTAAAATATAAAGGGAAAGGCATTCATGTTAAAATGCACAGCAATAAGTACCACAGAAAATGTTACTACTCACCGCACGATATCAACTGCACCAGCCCGAACTTTGGGGTCACGTCCTGTTACAGACATGCTGGCTGTAAATGATCCGTCAATACTGAATACAACACATTCTGTTTTGGGAGGTACCACTGCCATATAGAAGTCTACTGATGTGTGATCTCCTCTGCAAGAAAAATCATATTAACTCAGCAAACTGTCATGGAAACCATAACATTTATATATGAGATTTAAGGTTCTCATGGCGGTAAAAAATCAGTGTTGGTCTTCTGGGTTCTAGCACCATGTGAACTTGTAGGTAGATACCAATGTTTTGGAGAAACATACTACTTCCACCTTCAGGGTTGATGTCAGGGTGTTAGAAATTAGACGGTTTATATAAGGTCAGGCAAAGGGGAATTAACCATCCAGAACACAGACCAAGTCATAAATAGACGAGGAGATAACAGGAAGAAGGGGAAGAGGGAAGAGGAATGCTGGCGATACAAGGCCCATAAAGCAAAAGCCCAGAAAGAAACACTGGTTATCCACATAGAAGTCCATATGGTGCTGCAATCCAGAAGACCAACAATGACAAAAAAAACTTCCCTTTACTGAAAATATATGTATTGGCGCGGTAATTTTCTGCAATATGAAAGCATTTGTGTATGTACAGCAAGTAGCTTTCTTACCTTACAACCATTTTGATAGGATACATGCCATAACCAAGGGCATTGTCTTCGGAAAACGTGTAAGTAACACGGCCAGTCTTGTCCGTTACTTCAGTGGCTACAAGTGTCCATTCCCCAGCAGGAGCATCTTTCATGACGTGTATATCAACTTTCTCTCCTGAAAAATTATACAAGCAATATAATTACACTGACTGCTATGGAACAGAACAGTCATTGTAGCACCAATAAGTTATACTGATGTGTATTCATAACTGGCCACAAATATTATGTACGAAAACAAAGATCTTACAACCGTATTTTAAAAAGAGATGGCATGTTGTGTACTCTCAAAGCTGATAAAATTTATTAAAAACAGTCTTCGTTGGTGTGATACATTTTAGAGTATCAAAAGATTAAAAAAAAATGTATTTACCTAAAAATTCTTTCTTGACCATACACTTTGACTTTCATACTTTCTGTTACAGAAACTCTGGAATTTTCCATTAAAAACTTAGTATTTTGTTTCTGGTAACAGTGCGAGACTCAAGTCTCATCACCAGTCATTATTTTATTTATTCTCCACCCCCCCCACCCCACATACTTAGATTCTTCCAATGATTTTTTTAAAAGATTTGGACAATTATGTTTTATCAAAATGTTTTTGCTCATTGCTGAAATATTTTGGTACTATTTTGCCAGACTTTGTTCCTAAATGTATGCACAACAACCATTACCTAGTCATCTACATAAACAGATTACACTAAAAAGGTAAAGTACACAATGCAAAACAAGTATAACAAGCTAACCTGCCAAAGTGATCATGTCAAGAGGGCCATACATGAAGCGTGCAACCAAGACTTGAGGTGCACCTTCTTTCACTATGACATCATTAGCACGGTGGTTTGCTGCAACATTCTGGAAACAAGAATCCCACAATATAAAAGCTGTGAAACCAATATCCTCATAAAAATGACATCACAAAACAATCTGGTGACAGAAATCTCTAGCATTACCAGCATTATAAGGCAAAGGAAATGGGCAGGTTATATGATTTTGCCCTCCTTGCCTTCTGGTAATTAATTAATGTGCAGTATACAATGCAGTAGCACTATATTTCCAAACCAAGTGCCTGAAAGAAGACCAGCACAAGAATACGCTATGTGAGACTGCATAAAATAAAAAAATTCAAAGGCACTGAACATTCACTCCGTATAAGGCAAAAACATATTATTTCCCTACTGTCATTTTAATGTTAAAAAATTTGCAAAAATTGTTGGGAAATTACATAAGTAAACATGGTAGTGAGTTTCTTGTTCTACATAATTACTTCTCAAAGTTTATCCTTTTCAGTCACCTTTCTAATATGATTAAGCTGTACCTTAAGCTTCACTGATGTTCTCTTTTTCATCCACTTTTCCCTTGGCTGACTTGGGCTGAAGCTTATAAGTTCCTTTTCTTCATTACCAACTGGTGGCACAAGGTCTATGCGACCAAGCTACAACAGAAATCAACAGTCTGACATAAATCTCTAGTATTCTGATAATGCTGCACTTCATTGCCTTGATAAATCATAAAAAAAGTGGTGATTCTAATAGTAAGAATGCAAATGATGTTGTGGCGATGCCTATGGCAGGGTATAGCAGATCTATGTTTGGCGTACAAACTGTATAAATAGTGAAACTGACATAATTCAGGTACATGAAGAAGTGAAATGGAACACCAGTAAAAGTCCTGCATAATACTGTATTAGAGCCATGTCTCACAATAATAAAAGGTTAATGTTTTCACATCACACTCAGACATAATTCTGTAAGACTTTTACCTGGCGCAAAATAAATGCTATAACATCAGAGGATTCCCAGTAACTGGCATGGAACAGATGTGGCAGAGCATTGGTTGGAAAATTTGCCAGTCCTTCAGGACAATACAAGGCATAGTCAAGCCGCTTTGTGCCCCACCATTTCTGGGTTACTGCAAAAATAACAGCTGACATCAGTTCACAGTAAATGAATATGACTGAAATAATCACAAGAAACAAGACGCTACAACTCTGGATCAACTTGAATACCTAACTTATCTTTTTCAGTTCCAAATTCTTATATTTTGACACGTGACATCACTCTAAGTCCAAATCAATCCAGAAATGAAGATTCCAAATTCTGGACTGAGGCTGACAAAAGAAAACCTCCCTTTGGGGTAAACTTATTGCAACATGTGACAATTAACAAGGGGCAGTTCCAATTACTTTCTTCTCTGTTTTATGATAGTTGGGATTATCAAACGTAATTTTTTTTTGCAAACACTGAATTTAGTCAGACAACTTATAAGAAAAAACAAAGTAGAGCATTTTCAAACCTTTGTCCAGTCAGATAATTATAAAAGTAATAGCAAACCTATTTTCTTCTCTCATAATACTTTGATGAAAAAGGATGCAAATGCACAGAACTCATTAGGAAATGTATAGAAGAAGTGCACCAGGCATAAAATATATTTCATTATTCTCTAAAACATTTCTTTAGAACATTTCTTACTCTGACAAATACATACTGAGTAATGCTTGAGGTGTGCACAGAAACAAAAGCAGATCTTCATGTATAGAGTCTGTTACTGTCATATCATTTTAATCAAAACTGATTTACACCAACAAATTTTAGTAAAATTCCAAATATCAGATTTCATGAAAATTATGCAGTGAATTCTTAAACACTTACATGCAAACTGACAGACAGACAGGTAAAGTTAATGTGCACATTTTTTATAAACTTTTCGCTGTGAATGTGTTAAACACTGACATCTAAAACTGGTCTGAATCAAACATTATCCTTTGACTTTATATAATACTTTCTTGGTTAAGATTACATTATAAACACACTTATAAAACAGTGTTTCCACTGTGTGCATGAAACACTTACAAGCATTGATAGTCTGAAGTGGTAAAGAGTCTATGACACCTGATATTGTACTTTGTATACTGACTTCTGACATCCGCCGCAGGTGGCAACCTGGTGTAGGAGGTGCTATATTCATACCTTCTGCAAACATCTGAGGGTTTGCCTGGATAATCTCCACTGTAGGAAAAATAAATGCAGTCAATTTACAAGTTTTTACCTTTGAACCGTAACTACAAAAACAACGGTCTAGACACAAGCCTACTTTGCACTCTGAGCACTAAAATTCTGTAATAACTAATTTCATCTTAGTTGAGCACATGAAATCACAAGTGTTTCCACAATGCTTAGTGCTAAACTTCAAGGTCAGTCATTTTAGAATGTTGGTTGGTTTTTCTCTTGTGGTGGATAGCATTCATTTCTAACCAATTCTGTACAAAAATTAGATAGCATTTTTGGTGGTCTATTTTTCTGGAACTAAGTATTTCTCAGACCACATGGAATTTTTTTTTAAATACTTGCATGATCTTCGAAAATTTTATTTTTTTGTATTACTAAACCTTTAGTGTATGTTATTTCTTGGTATTCCCTTCAATAATGATAAATAAAAGCAATAAACAGAACACAAAAAATTATATTTTACTTCTTTGACAGCCAAAACACTGCAATATACTGCCATGGCTACATAATCATTCAGCCTAGCTAATCTTGTAATCTTGTATAAACCTCATGTTTGATGGCTCATTGTAGACAACCTGAGAAAGATAAAGATCTATCATTGAAGAACTCACCAAATGCAGTCAAATTCAAATTCATGAATATGCTATGCAAAGAAGTGAAACTAACAAAGCTCAGACCAATGTAAAAATACAATGCAAGTAACTCAGTGAAGGCTTAGTACCATTTTGTTACCATGGAATGATAAAAAATAACAGTTATTCAATATAATTAGATACAATTACATTAAATCACACAGACTCACATTCAGGTGTCTGAATGTTTATGCCTCACTTGGTAACAAAATATATTACTTACAGATATGATATGGTTGTCCATCTCCTAAAGGATACTTCTGGTAGCGAGCCACATTTATGGGTGGCAACATGGAAAACCTTGCTGACAGCAGAGGTTCCAGCCTAGCAGAAACTGGATCTGTTGGATGGAACAGGTTGTACACCTGCTGCACTAAGGGTCTTGCAATTGGAGCTGCAGAACAACAGTAACATTAATTCTTGTAAAAAGAAGATTTCTTGCCATCCACTGGCCTCAAAAGGACCAACCTTTTCCATATTTCTATACACATAATCAAATTTTTCCACAACACCGTGTTCATCATTAGAAAGAGCTTCACTAAATTTTACTACGCCCACTTCATGCAACAATGATATCCATTGACAAATATTCAACAACATCAAACTTCAATATTTCATATGGATACTGATAAGTGGCAGGAGACTTAACACATGAGCAAAAAATAATGGTAAATCTGTGTGCTGTGTTGAACTCGACACAGAATCTAGTGGGATTGAACGTGATGTTGAGTCTACCTTGACTTGGCCCAGAAATGGCTAAACAAAACCTATCAAACTAAACAGAGTAAATGTGTTCACATTATTCAACCAAACAATCACTAAAACACGTAACCTAAAATCCCAAAGAACTTTTCTCCATAGTTTTCAAATTTAGAATCAGAACAGACCACATAAGATGTTCATGCAAATTACTATAATACTCACTGTTTTTGTCATCAGCTGAAGATATCTTCCTATAAGCAAGAACCAATGCAAGTGGACTTCCAAACATGAAGAAATCATTCACCTCAAAATATAATTTACACTGATGGTCACTGAAACAAATCAACATTTAAAGATCACTTTCACTGACTTGCTTGCTAAGCACTGCACAATGTTTCCACACTATTCATAATTTCATATTAGGAGCAGCACATTCAGACCAATTCCCTCGGCTCAGTATCTTAATACCAATTGTGACCATTAGGCACCATGACTATTACCACATATATACACTGGTATTAGTGGGAAAGAAGGATGTATTACTCTACATTCATTTCTTATTTCTCAATGACATTTCCGTGTTTCTCATTTCTCAATGACGGTTCGCATGTAAATTTAATTTCTATGACATATATTACACAACACAGACAGAAACTCACTTTGTTGAAGAAGATCTTCTTCGAGGTGCTGGTGCTGCAAGATTTTTGTTGGGGTTCAGTCCCTCAATGTTGGACTGCCCATCAGCTACATGACTTCCATCTGTTAATAGAATCTTATGGACGGGTTTTGCGACATCTCCGTCTTCTCCAGATGGACCATTAGTATCCAGGATACTATTGTCACTGTCATGGTGAGACTGGTACTGAATGGATCGGCATAGAGCATCATAACCCAAGATGGAACCTACACTGTCTCCTGCAATGAAAAAACTTGTGTCATGTACCTTTCATCAACAATCAAAGAGACAAGGTCAGTGCAAATGAGAGTTGTTTAATATATGGCTGGAGACCTATGAAAACTCTGGAAATATCATAAATAAGTGATTAAAGATTTCTGCCAGCATAAGAACTCAGGGGAAGAATGTATGACGATTGCTGGTTTTTAGACCGTAGCACCATGTAGTTTGGTAGAAGTTTACCAGCATATCAGAGGTCGTAGCTGCTTCCATTATCAGGACAATGAGATGACTGATGATGGAGGGAGCAAGGATCTATGAAATGTTGGTAAACTTCTACCAGATTATAATGGTATTAAAACCCAGAAGACAGCCATCTTTATACTCACCATGATAACCTCAAATCCTACTTAGAATTTATGATACTTAGGTGCTTCCAAATGCTTCAATGTATATTATAAAGTTAAATGGAACAGTCAATTAATAATCACACAAGTAATGATAATTATTTAACTTCCACATCTAGGGCAGGTACTTGAACTGTTCAGCACTTCAATACTCCACATGTAAAGTAAGAACTTTTAATACTTACCAACAAAACAGACTTGTCCACTGAATCCTTGTCCTTCCTGTGATCTCACAAACTCTTGGTAGGCTGTGTTGGCTCCACTGATTATTCTAGAGATAGCATCCTGATATTCAGGGGCTGAACTGGCAAATATGGGGATGGCCCCAATAGGTATGGAGTCATGTGTCACATGTGGAATATCTGTACATGATGGAGACACATCGAAGCTGTAAGGGCTCAGGCTGAAACACGCATCACACCAGTTGTCTGGCATCACTCTCCCCACCTTCCTCTGTACTTTCTACAGCAAATTAATTAAGCCACTTCATGACCTGGCACTGACGAGCATGTCAAGAAACTGAAGAGCGATACGAAAAGGTTCATTAAATTTAATTACCTTTATTCACAATAAATAACCGAAACTGGAGCAAATTATTTTTAACAACATTTTGACCACTTTGATGTTAGATACAGCCATAATTAAGGAGTCGTGGACAGCCAACAAGGGGTGGTCCTCCACGTGCAGAGTTGGGTGGGGGGCTAACAACCTCTCATTATAGAAAAGTTATATTATGGATGGAGTGCATTGGATTCGTCTGGCTTAGGATATGGAATGGTGGCTGGCTCTTATACACAGTGATAAAATGTCACATTCCACAAAAGGCAGGAAATTTCTTGACCTGCTGAGCAATTAGTAGGTTTCTCAAGGACTCTACTCTATAGTTACACAGTAACAAGACTGAAATCAGATATTGTGGTCTGTCTTACCTAGAAAGAATCCCTAGACCCTCTGTGCAAATGGAAGGGCATGAGACCAATCGGATGGCAATACGGCCAACCATAGAAGGATAGTGCTGCCTCATTACAGATTCAAAAGCGCCACGAAATGTTGTAATATCAGATTTCTTTGCAGTCAAATCTACATTTGCATCTGAAACAGTAACACAAATAACAAATTACTTTTGTGCCAAGGTCACAGTTTATTTTTGTAACAGTAACATATAATGATCAGATAAGGCTCGTTACAATCTTTCCTCTGGAATGCTTACATTTTGGTGTAAATATAAAACTGATTTGCAATAATACATTCATTCATAAAAATAAAATGCTTAATATAATGTTGTACCAAGTAATCTGGTAGATAACAACTGATATTTCTGAAGAGCTTATTGACTACATTATCAGGGTTATCAGTCATGATAAAGGCAATAAGATTCTCTGAAATGTCCGTGAATATCTACCACACTACATGATTCAACATCCCAGAAGGAGCTTATATTCATACTCATTGCTATGAGAATTGCAAGTGTTGCCAACATAACTTTTACTCCTAAAATTAATTTTCTTATTACACAACAAATCCTACTCACCCAGGACACTACCAGCATGGAGAACAAGTATGAGTGCTGTGGTACTACATTTTGAATGGTGGGAAGGTGTCATAATTGGTGAGCCAGGACATGATACATCCATACTGCATCCCCCACCTATCATTCGACCCCTTTCACTGACAACACGTTGTAAAAATGTCTGAGAGAATATGCTGTCAGCTGAAATACATCAAAAGAAAATATATCCATTACATGTTAAAGACAATATTATTTTCAAGAATTATACGCTGTAATTTTAAGGCAAATTATTTAATATATAAAACACTGTTCAATTTTTTCTTTCTTATGGTAAATCTAACTCTTTGCACCATTTGGACTGACACAAAGAATATAGTATGCATGAAGATAAAACTCCATGCATTCTTCAGACCTTGGGACTAAGAAGGCTAGTGGTCCCCCTTAAGCTCATTAAGCTGTTCCCCCAAAAATGGAAGAATCATTCTGGAATGGCAGTGAATCAAACCCTTGTTATAAAGTGAGTTTCATAATATTTCTTCCCATTATGGCACAATGTGTTAATTAAGCATTAAGACATGTGAGAAGTTGAGGTATAGCTCCACACAATCTTAACTATGCAATGATGCAGAAATCAGAAACCAGTGAGAGTGTGATCTGAATTTATGTCAAGAAGCCTGACAGAAATGGTTTGATAATGTCATAGCGCCATAAGGACACAAATATGAGTACACTAAACCAATTTCTGTTTCATAAATATAGCATTAAACAAACAAATTCTTGTTTCTTAATGCTACACACACCAAAACCATCTAAAACAGTTTAAGAACGTCATGCAAATAGCAGATAATATTGTAACATAAATCAATTTTATTTAATGCTAACATTTAGTGCAGTACTTCACATCAACATGCACATAAGTGCACACACACATTTCTCATGACAGACTGCGAGTGACTTTCAGTTACTTCTTCTGAAACACATCTACAACTAAATGTTGCTTTGGCATAACTTTGTGCCTGTATTTGCATATATATCAACTTGAGAACTACCGAACAGATTTTTATAAAATTTGATACTGAAGGGTTTTACAAAAATTTGTTAATATAATTCAATTCTGGTTAAAACTGGACAAAAATAACAGACAATTTATATTCAATGCATCCAATACCCAGGGGGCATGCCCTCATAAATTAACAACATCCACCATGGTACAAATCACTTTAAAATATATATTTCCTTCTTCTCCCTACCCAAGTTACAAATATACACTTCTGTATTAATACAGAACCTGACCCAGCAGCTGAGTGGAAGGCACTAGAGCTGACCTTTTCTATATAATCTTACCGACATAAATAGGATTTCAATTATTTTCAAGAATTATACGCTGTAATTTTAAGGCAAATTATTTAATATATAAAACACTGTTCAATTTTTTCTTTCTTATGGTAAATCTAACTCTTTGCACCATTTGGACTGACACAAAGAATATAGTATGCATGAAGATAAAACTCCATGCATTCTTCAGACCTTGGGACTAAGAAGGCTAGTGGTCCCCCTTAAGCTCATTAAGCTGTTCCCCCAAAAATGGAAGAATCATTCTGGAATGGCAGTGAATCAAACCCTTGTTATAAAGTGAGTTTCATAATATTTCTTCCCATTATGGCACAATGTGTTAATTAAGCATTAAGACATGTGAGAAGTTGAGGTATAGCTCCACACAATCTTAACTATGCAATGATGCAGAAATCAGAAACCAGTGAGAGTGTGATCTGAATTTATGTCAAGAAGCCTGACAGAAATGGTTTGATAATGTCATAGCGCCATAAGGACACAAATATGAGTACACTAAACCAATTTCTGTTTCATAAATATAGCATTAAACAAACAAATTCTTGTTTCTTAATGCTACACACACCAAAACCATCTAAAACAGTTTAAGAACGTCATGCAAATAGCAGATAATATTGTAACATAAATCAATTTTATTTAATGCTAACATTTAGTGCAGTACTTCACATCAACATGCACATAAGTGCACACACACATTTCTCATGACAGACTGCGAGTGACTTTCAGTTACTTCTTCTGAAACACATCTACAACTAAATGTTGCTTTGGCATAACTTTGTGCCTGTATTTGCATATATATCAACTTGAGAACTACCGAACAGATTTTTATAAAATTTGATACTGAAGGGTTTTACAAAAATTTGTTAATATAATTCAATTCTGGTTAAAACTGGACAAAAATAACAGACAATTTATATTCAATGCATCCAATACCCAGGGGGCATGCCCTCATAAATTAACAACATCCACCATGGTACAAATCACTTTAAAATATATATTTCCTTCTTCTCCCTACCCAAGTTACAAATATACACTTCTGTATTAATACAGAACCTGACCCAGCAGCTGAGTGGAAGGCACTAGAGCTGACCTTTTCTATATAATCTTACCGACATAAATAGGATTTCAAGGTCAAGTAGTATGACACTTCAAGGAAACAATGAATTCAGAAAAATCACCAAAGTCCTGATGATCAACTGTCTACCGAGCTCCAGCTTGAAGCTTTATATTCTGCTGAACAATGTAAGTATAAAACTGATTGTTTAAAACTGTCAAATAAGAAATGTACACAAGACAGCCATTTTGTTCATATGGAAGACTAACAGCATGCTTTACTAAAATTTGTCATAACTGTATTTACAAGACTGACCTTGTTTATCTATAATAACTGCAGGGGATGTACCATCCAAGTCTTCTTCAGTCAAAAGATCCAAAGAACTCCACTTTGCCAAAGAAGTTGAGTCTCCAATATCCTCTGTACGAACAAACATTTCAAACTTCCAGATATTAAGCACTTCCCTCATTATTCAGAATTAACTTGGGTAGAAAATTTTGCTCCAAATTTATTATCCTGAGTTAACTTGTAGCAGTTTCAATTTTGTGGTTATGAATTATTATCCCCCTTTTCTGCCCCTTACTAGCAACAATCTGAGCTTCACCTTACTAGATGGAACAAGTATTCAGTAGTTCAGTAATACTGTCTCTGGCAGATTTCTTTTATGCTCCTTTGCATTTATATGTCACAGTGCTTATATTAAACTTTAAGTATATGTGATCACAGATGTAATATGCATTGTCGAGTATCAGTCTGTTACTATTCTCAAGTTATTATCATCCTAATTTTATAACTGCAGGACACAAAAGTAACTCTAACAGTGTTATGGTGGTGTTTATGAGCCTAGCAGTGACATTTGATAGCAGAAGCAGAAATTACAGACTCACATTCAGACAGCTCTGTTAACATACAAGCTTGAAAATGCATGGAAGTGAAAACTTCATGTCTACCACATAACACAAAACATGTAAGCAAAGCCAAACACAGCACAGCTAGATAACAACAAAGCTGTTTATACACAGAAAACCTTTTCACATTATAAAGTGTTTTGAAAATATGACATTGAAATTTCTCAATGTCCTAGTATGGCTGGCACCAGGCAAAATCTAAAGACATGAGTAAAGCACCACGGAAAAACTGAGTATGAAAGAAAAAGAAATTGTTCTGTAACTTTACCAACTTTATCCATGAAGCAACACTACCGACATCCTGACATTCCTCAAAAACCAACAAAAGTCAATTAATTATTTTAAACTATTGTCAATATCATATACATTGATAAAAACTTCTCGGGAAACAGGCTTTGTCAGTTGCAGACTGAAACCCAACATTTCAGAGACCACCTCTGTCGCTGAACTCTTGGGCATTGTTCACTACTGACATGGTTTGTTGCCTGAGAAGATATTATCACGTTCAACCACCATTGAAAGCTTGAAGTTTTTTATCATATACACTTTTTCTGTTCCTTACAACAAATTATAAGTTCACATAACCAGTACCTACCCTTGATGATCGGAATTATGAACCTTGCTGCATTCACAGAACAGAAGGGAGGCACAGAGAGAAGAAAACACAAAAAAGAGAGAGAGAGGAAAGAAGTAAAGACACGAGTCAGCTACTGAAACATATAACATGCACAAAAACAAAAAAGAATAACCTTGTTAGCATAAAACCCAGACACAGTATCAGTATCATCCAGTGTTTAACGTCACTGTTCACACTTATTTCTGAACGAATCTGTGCTGGAAGGGTAATTGGGCACAGAAACAGGTAGATGCACAATTCAATGAAGAACACACAAATGGACTTGATTCTACATGAGCATAATTCCCTGGCACAAAATTAATGGAACTGCTTTCAAAAAAGTACAGCAATTTACAACTTACCAAAAACAGTATTATGTATGACTCTAGTTTCCAAACACTGATTAGTAACATGACATCATATTGCTCTTGTAACTATGTGAAATCATTGCTATTACAATAAAAAGATGTCCAACATCTCATTCACTGATTGCCCTGCTACCTGGCCAACACAGATACATTCTCGTATGTATTTGTTTTTAGTTCTCTTCATTAAACACTGTCTTTTTAAAAATTATACATCAGTAGGAATACATAATGATCAGTTATATGCCAGCATCAAACTTCCTTATAAATTTCACACAATGAACCCAACTGTGGGTACATTCTTATCCTATTCTTAACATAATATAAGGACATTTTTGAAACAAAGTATGATGCATTCTGAAACTATACAATAAGATAGCATGCTCAGACATAAACACCAACTACAATTAATTAACTTAATTAACACTTTCACTGCTGTCTCAGCTAAGTGCATAACTAACCCCAGGAACCAATGTACTCTGTAGGGGTTTATAGAAATTAGAATCCACCAGATATTTGTTACACTACTACATTTTAATTTGTTCAAAAAAATCGAAAAATAGTCCATGACACACGTCTCACATGCATTGAAAAATGATTTCATATTCATATTCATGCTGGTCGACTCATGTCATCAGTTATAACACTATATAAAGTTATTTTCCATTGTTCGCAATAGCAAGTCCAGAAGACTAACAGAAGTAGTCATTCATTGCCAATTTAACAAAAAATTGTCGCAGTAAATAAAACCATCTACACTGTTCCAAACAAATTTGAGGCTTCCTGGTTCATGCTATGGTAGCGTTCATCATGAAGGACCTAAAGTTGAGTTATAAGAATCATCAGTTTTATCTCCCATAATTACTATACTTAAAGAGAACTGAAAAATAAACCAAATCTGTACTCATATAACTTGAACCTTAAGCTGAATTCCACTGTAGTAAGAAGAAATTACATTTCAGTACCAATCAGTTCAGACAGGCAAGGTTGCTGAGAGTAAAACATGCACAATCTCCATCAGCACTGGGGTGGGCAAGCCACATGACACACGTGCATGAAGTGGTACTGAGCAAATGAAGTGTTAATACACGTATCATTCAGCTAACTAGAAAGTGCATGAAAAGCAAAATCAACATAAAACATTTACTGAATAGAATGGTTCAATCATACAAACACATATTTATACAAATATTCTGTAAGGAAATTCAAATAAATCTTTATAACAACGTAAAAGCACAAAATTATTTATGCAACAATTCAAACCAAACCAAAAACAAGGTTCATACATGTTCCTTTCTGTTTCAGTAAACTAGTAATGTACAAAAACAGTAAGCGTAAATCGCTTCTCAGTTTCTGAAATGAAATCAGTAAAAAATATTTTCTGGAAGTAAGAAGACATGACCAAAGTATGCTTTCATTTAACAAGCTTTTATGACAGGTAAAAACTTGAAGAATACAAAGTACCTGATTCTGATAGAATTTCTGCTGTTCCCTGTGTTTAAAAACTCCATGCATTCTTAACCTATGCATATGAGGGAGACAAGCAGTCAGCTTCATGTTCTGGCAGTTTTACCAGTGATATAAACAAAACGGGAAGTTGGGTGGAACCCATATTTTGTCTGGATAGGATGACAAAGGAAAACATCCCTTGCCCTGCCACAGATCAAACCCTAGTTATCTACCCCAAAAGCAGTCATTTTAGTAACTGAGCTACACCTGTTCAAAACTATTTCTGTGACATTAAATTTCCTTTTCATGGAAAATTGCATTACCAACATAAACATAAATATAAAATTTCCTGGAAGTTCCTATGGTCAAAAACAACAAAAGGAGACACATTAATATCATAAATTTATTTTTCCACTGCTTGATGGTTCATTAATCAATACTTCCATTAAACAGCTTGAAGAAGCTTGTGTCAATTATGGACTGACAACACAAAAATGTGATTAAATTTATCTGCTTTAGGTCATTATTTGTCTAAATATAAAGTTGGAAACATATCATAGTATACCTAGTGTAAAGTGGCTGGCACCCTACTCCCATAAGAAAAAGTTTAAAATTTTTTAAACTATTTAAAGATTCTAAAACAGTAAGCACACAAATCATTCATATCATTATGAAACACACAGAAGATACAAGCAGCCATACCACCAAGAATTTTGTAAGTCTGCGTACCTTGACAATCAAAGAATTCGTCATCACTATCAGAGTCTGAATCTCGAACGATGCTTTCCATTCTCCAGTTCGCCACCTGCAGGTCAAAGCTTTTGGTTGAAGTAGAACTTGGAGAGTGAAGAGCAGGCTTTGAGTTGTTGTGAGGCCAGAATTTTCTGCGGGTCTCCAAATCCTGGAGTGAGACACTTCCTCCCACACTTCCTGCATCATCAGGATGCCTGTAAAACATTTCATTGCTGACTTACTATTAAATCAATGCACAGTATTTAAATTATAAACTTAAGACTACTAAAAGGTGTTTATCCTTACAGAACAGTATAATAGTATAATCATATAATTTTGGCTGTAATATAACATACTGTCTCACCTGAGAATAACTTCTGTGGGTGAATCATCAGGGCTACAATCTTCATTTGAGCCATCTGTCTGAATGGTTGGAACGACATCAGATTTCTTTATAACAGGTGGACTTGGCATCTCTTGTTCTGTTTTTTCAATACTCCCCAGAGTAGCCTGCAACGTCTTGGCCATCGAGGAATCCTGAGGAGTGGTTATGGCACCTGCTGTGCCGCCATTTGACGTTGTGAAACCCTCGTCCAGCTCATCACTCGAGTCAGGTGATTCCTTGTCGCTCATTCCCATCTTTTTCTTCAGAGCTTCTTGTGTCTGTCTCTCAATCTGCCGAATATCATCCATTGACAATCCATGCCATTCATCCTGCCATGCCCATGCCTGCCGGTGAGCTCGTAGCATTGTCTTCCGTAGAGCTGTTAGCAAATATACAGCATATTACATTCATATTTAAAAAATGAAATCAGAATTACACTTTAGTATTCATATCAGTAAAGAACATGATGTTAAGAAATAAACCATACAAATGATCTGTATAAATGTCCTTACTGATACATACATAAATATAAAACTATCCTTTCAATTGATCTATTTAAAAATATCTACATAAAATAAAAAACACATGTAAGATTTGCATATCATCATTCAGAATGGAAGGATAATTTATGCAACAAGGAGAAAATTACAGCAGCAGGAGACTGGATACTATTTTCAATGGAACACACCTAACGTGTATTCTAGTTATACTGCTGAATTTTTTAAAATCGCAAGACATGGATGAATACTTAGTGGAACAGGTAAATGCTTTCAGGTTGTTAAGTAACAAAGCCCTCACAATGAACTAAAGTGAATTGAAATCACACATGGCAATATCAATTTAATAAAAATAGCTTATATAAATTTTCATGAAAATTTGTCAAAGGCTCAAAAGGCATATCTGAACAACCAATTACAGCTCTGTAAAGTAATCCAAAGCAGATAAAACTTTTAATAGTAATATCAAATCTCATCAAAATCTCTTTAATGTGCATTTCTGTCAAATGAAACTCTTCAGCAAAGTAATAAGTGAAAGAATATAAGATGTATAAATAAGGGAACTTATTAATGGCTGGGGGTTCGTCGTGCTGACCACACGTCACCCTATATCTGGTTGGATGATCGTTCACCTCTGCTTAGGCATGTGAACGTGAGGCCAGCAGCCAGCTAGTCGGCTTTGGCTCTCAGAGGGCTGTTATGCCATGGATTGTTATTATTATTATTATTTACCTATTTTAAACATTATTCTTTTATCAGAAACATATACTAATATCATTAATGGTATTAGAAACTTAAAAACTTATCTTTATAAACAACGAAATCAATATGAGAGTCAATGAAAAGAAACTTACCCACATCATGTATGAATTTTTCCAGTTTTGTCTGCATTCCCCAGTATCGGAACTCCACTCGGCACAGCTTGTATGCACACATAATAGATTTTCCATTTGGAAGTGGCATTTCCTGGCCCTACAAATTAATAATACATGTCATAACGCACACTACACTGTTCATAAAATAGTTGACGTTATACCACATGACTGGACGTATATGCAACCATTATTCTTATTTCTTACCTATAGGCACAGCCCAATTACAATAATACTTCCTTATTTACTACTAGACTGGCAGTTAAATGTCATGAAATGTAATAAAAATGTGATTTTTGGTATTTAGGGGCACGTCCTTATGCTATGTAAAATAATATTGTATAATAACACAAAACAATAATGACTTCCATTAATATTATCCATAATTAATAAAATGGTTCTACAACATTGTCAGTGTGTGTGTGGTGTGAAGCTGTAAATTTATACCGCCCTTGTAAATATCGGATTCTCTACAACAAAAAGTTGACGTTTAGTCAATGTGACATTTCTGGCCAATACAGTGTTTACCAGCCAGTAACAAAAGCACAGCAATCAAGAATGAAAAGCTTTAATTTAGTATATACCTTGCATTCATTCCAATAATCTTCCAACCACGTATCAGCCAATGGTCCACGATCTGTTTTTTGAGAGACATACACTTTTGGATCTTCTTCACGAACATAATCAGCCCCATAAAGCTGGTCTTTCACTACATCAATTAAGTCTGAAAGTTTACAAGGAAGTAACAGGTATTCAAATTGAAGCAAACTGTTTTCTGGACATTATCCACTATCCAAGATTAAATAAAATAAAATCAATAACTCCACAACTTTTCGGAGTCTATCTGCGTCTTAAGGTAAAACCTACTCTGTTGGGCCCAATCGATGGGTTCGAATTTAAATGTTAAATTCTGTATAAAAGTTCAATATAAATTACATAATACAAATTACAACCAACATTTCTGTAATCAGGCTTCAGCAATAAGTAAACTGACCGTTATAAGACCTTTATAAATATGGACAGAAGTTTACATACCAATTACTCTGTTCCTGAGATCACTTCCAGAAAGGCCAAACACATTCTCCTGGTGACCATCATCAGCGTGATAATACGTTTCTATCTCAAGTGAAAATTTTTCCACAAAAGGGCATGTGTAGCGAGTTTTTGTATAAGGATAAGCATTCCAAGCTTCCTCCTCTACAGTTAGCGCTGATTTGGGAAGCAGACTCTTAAACCATCCTGCGTGAAAGTACATCACAATACTGAATACTATTACAGATACATTTTTAGATACCTTCCAAAGTGCTACATGAAAATTCAAGCAAGGCGCTAGGACACCTTTCTCAAGTAAACAATTTTGTAATATGAAGCACTGTGCGGCTACTATGGATTATAAAATTACTTGCAGAGGTTTATGATATAACGCAGATGACCAAATAATACGTTACTTACCTGGTAAATGACTGCCAACATGATAAATTTTGTGGGTGTACTGTCCTTGACCACCAGGCCCATCGTCATACGGCTCATTTACCAGAATTTCCACACCACTTCCTGCCCCTTTGCTTTCTTCACGACTCTTTTTCTGTAAGTTATAAAAAAATTCATATCTGCGCCAAATCTTACTCTTAATTTAATACAAATAACAGCGTAACACATTCAAGCGTTTCTTTAATTTTATAAACTCTACAAAAATTAACTCACAGAAATCATATACAGCTGTGCGATCCGATATTCCTCTACAGTGAGAGGAAGTGGAATGTGGTACTCCTTAATCAGCATGGCCCCTGCTATTTGCTAGCAAGCCACGGAAACCAGGCTACCTCGGCTCAGGTGTAACTTCCATGGCACCTCTGTAACAAAATTATGCCTGAAAAAGAAGGAAACAAAGGAGTCAAGGCAACTAACTCCATGCAGCCCTCCCCTTCTTGAGAAGCTGATTGTTGCTCGGCTACTAGATAAATTCCCAACCTTCACTAAAACCCACAGAACTGGCTACTAGATAAATACCCAACCTTCACTAAAACCCACAGAACTCACAACTGGACCCTATCCCAAGCCAGATTAATCCAGTTCACATCCTAAGAACCAATTCCTTTCATATATTTTATTATCTTCCTATATTTAGCTGCCTTCTGGTTTCACAATTAAAATCATGTATTCATTTCTCACATTTCTCCCAATTCTTATGTTATCTACTCTATTTTACAGTGTATGAACCCAAAGCAAAAAGAACAGAGGAACTGTCATATACTTATGTGTGGTAAAATATGCAAGTTTGGAACCCAGAATTGTGATTAATAATAACAATGTAATTATTTTTAAAAAAGCAGAGTTTCTGTTCTGGACTAGCTTAATTCCATGTCCTGTATATGTCACAACTGCTGTAACTACATGGTATTTCAAGATACGCTTATTTTTGTTTATTATATTATGCGTTTTATGAAATAATATCAACATGTTTATAATGTTGAGCTGACTACATATGAGGCATCATCATTCTTAGAATAAACAACAAGGGCATAATTCCATGAAAGAATTAGGCATCTGATCCGATTACGCCACGACACTTACAAAGCCCAGGCGTGAAACCTGTAAAGATCCCACAGTTCTCCACACACAGCGGTGTCCTGCACATAATCGCAGGAGCAAAACATGTATGAAAAATCTATAAGTAGACTCTGTGAGCAACATTAAAAGCTTTGAATGAAAAATCAGATGGTATACATAGTTACCACTGTTCTAATGAAATGACAGAATATCCCAGGGTTCAGCAATACCCTCAGTGTCAACACAGTTAACATCATTGCCCTATGTTGAAACATAGGAGGGGTGTCCAACATTCTGATTTTGGTGAAATATGTAACAAGTTTAAGGCTTAAAAGGCTGTTGATGTAACACAAGTAATGAAGATTCCAGGGAAACACTTTTAGGTTCACAGAGAAAGAAAGAGAGAATGGATACAAGTGAAATAACACCTTACTAACATCAACGTCTACATATTTTGAGAGAGAAAGATAATAAAACACTGTATACTGGCATGTGGAGGTTCTTTAACGTGTTCACAGCTGTCCATCAACAGATCTACCCTCAGCCAGTACCTTCAAGGCTTTTCAATACAGTCCTCCGATCATCTATGCAAGCTGCATGTCCCACCCATCACATCCTGCTTGACGTTATTGATTGAGTGAATGCAAATTATGAAGCTCATCATTTTTAAATGTTCTCCACACTTCTGTTACTTCTTGTCTGGTCCAAGTATTCTTGTCAGTATGTTCTTGTAACCTCTACCAACTCAAATAATACATGTGGGTAGTTGTCATGAACCTTCCCATGAACTACGCATGTAATGAGGCATTTTATCAGCTGATTTATTTATCAGCCAATTTATCGAGTAAACGGAGCGTATGATTATTGATTAAATTGTATCCGAACACATGAAATGGACTGGACTCTACACCAAGAGCGACAGAAATCCGTTGTACTGTTTCCCACGATGCTCTGCGCAGTTTAATCATCCTGCAATCTTTATGAAAGAATGTAATATATTAATGTTAGGAATCACACCAAATTTAAATTCTAAATATATCATTGGTCAATCTTCCAACCGTGTTCGCCATTTTACTTGAAGGTCAGAATTGGTCTCGTAATCATGTTGATAAAAGTCGTAGCGGAAGTTTAAAGAACCGAGACGAACAATCACAGATGATATTTCCGTAACAGCAGTCCGAGTTCGTAAACGAGACAGAAGCAAACTTCCTCTAATCAACTGAAGTATGGAATTGTTTTAAAACTGAAATTTGCGCTGTCACAGAAAAAAAATGGTACTTATTATAACACAGCCACATAAAGAGCTTGTCACTTAGCGGATTTATTACACTGTGCCTTAAACGGAGTAAACTCGACTAAATGGTAAGACGGTTAACAGAAAAATTGGTTAATCCGAATTTAAAGTCTTCGATTTAAAAAACAATAAAAAGTTTAAAAATGCAGTACGTCTTATCTATAAATCCAAACATAAACGTAAAGATAACTTAATTTTCACCTGATGCTTTGAATAATTATGAAACACGGCGAATCGCCCTCATGGAAGAACAAGATGATGGTGTTAATGAACAGAGTGCTGAGTGTGTTAGTCGCAAAAAGAGAAGAAATAACTTGAGAGACATAAGCATAGACGGCAGGAGATTAAAATGGACATTAGAAATAAGTAATGGATTGGTTTCATCCGACTCAAGATACGAGGTGCGATCGGAAAGTTTCAAGACTGTTTCAATAGAGGGCGAACCGGATGTAGTACGAGCTTCTGCCTTTAGGGGGTGCGGCCTACATTCATAGTGAATCAGTGTGCCAGCCGGCATCATCGAATTAGCATTTGTTTCTTAGTTACGGGCGTTTTGGTAGTGCATTACACCGACCCTCCTGCGATTGCGGAATGGCGTGTGCATCAAATTTTGCCAAAGACTCGCCAAAACGGCTAAGGAAACCTATGAAATGCTAAAGCAAGCATTTGGGGAGTCCGCAATGGGTCGTGCACAAACTTTGGTGTGGCATTCACGTTTTAAAAATGGCCGAACCGCTGTCGATGATGACGAGCGTTCTGGACGACCATCTTCGAGCACAACGCCCGAAAATGTTACGAAGATCGACGTCGTACCATCAACGACTAATGCGACATTGTTGGGATAGGCTATGGGACCTGTCAGCTGATTCTAAAGGAAGAACTCCACATGCGACGCATCCTGTCTGAGGACCAGAAGCAGAATCGACTTCTCGTTTGTCAGGAGCTCAAAGATCTTGCAAGAACCGACCCCAACTTCCTTTCTAAGCTCCGTGTGACTTCTTCCTCTTCCCAAAGATGAAAATTCAGCTAAAGGAAAGGAGATTTGAGACGATAGAAGAGATTCAGGCAGAATCGCAGATGGTGCTTGACAGGCTGACAAAGAAAGATTTCCAGGGATGCTTCCAGGCTTGGCAGCGGCGCTGGGATCGTTGTGTTAACTCCCAGGGGAACTACTTCGAGGGTGATGGATGAATTTAATACCTGAGATAAGTGTACGGGTTTTTATAGGCGCAGTCTTGAAACTTTCCGATCGCACCTCGTATGGTTCCGTGTCAGATACTTCTGAATATGGTAATGATGTGGGAAATTTGTTGACCAACTTAATGACTGTCACGTTTCTCAAGAACAACTCTGATTCGTGAAATACTTACTGGCATTAATGTTCATTTATTGCAAATACAAATATATTACCGCAAAGCTAACGATGCATCAAATAATACGTTTCATTTGAAAAACACAAAAACAAATATCATTATAAATCCCACCTGGCACATACGAGCTAAATTCCTGAGATAGTTTATACATGGCCATCGGTCAGTGTAAAACGGAAATTATGCTAGCCGACGTATCAATACGATCTCCCCAATATGCGCTCATTTCATGCAAAGGAAGCAATAATAATTCTGCCATCTTGGCACGAAAAAGATATGAATCCAGTACAGCAATCGGCATGCAGCATGACCGACGAATTACCACAAGGAAATACGTTATTTCCGATCATGTGCAGTGACGTCACCTTCTGCACTAGTATGACGTAATTACGACACGTGGCTAAGATGCTATGAAGTGTAATGTGGACAATGCACATAAAATTTGAAATACTTTATCAACAAACTCAGTTTCTCCGTCTCTCGTTCAGTTCCTTGGCGATCATAAGCAGTTTTATGGTACATAAAGGATTCTGTGTATAACATCGGCTTTCGGAATAAGCTTGGTAGAACGCTACGTGGCTTATTATCAGAAGCTGAAGTTGTATTACACACTTCAGCCACACGAAAACTATGACAAGAATTACGTAAAGCCATCTACCTAAGTCTGTACCGCTGTTTCATTGATTGACAACAGTTTAATGCAGAAAGCGATCATTATACGACACCACAAAACTAAATACGTACTACAAAATCTGAGTGACGTCACATCCTACCGTTTAAAGAATTAGAATTTAATGTTAGGTATTAAAAGTTCATTGTCTGTTTCTTTCAATGCGCATTCTATCTTGTGTCTTTTAGACTGTTAAAGTAGAAAGAGATGTTATAAAATACTGAAGCGATTTATTCCAGTACAGTTTATTTTAAGATAAACCCGAAAAAAGAAAGGTCATTTCCGCTGGTTAAAATGTACTTACCATTTAGCCTAGTTCCCCGTACTTACAGCGACATGAGACGAACCAGATTACAATTTCCGACATTCGTTTAAAAAAAAATGCAAATCCTTCTGGAATCTCGGAACAAAACAGGATTTGATGTTCTCAAGGCTGTGAGTACGAAGATGGCTGCCTTCTGGGATTTAGTGCCGTGTAGTCTGGTAGAAGTTTACCGACGTTTCAGAGGTCCTTGCTGCCTCAATTGCCCTGGACATGGAGGCAGCAAGGACCCCTAAAAAGTTCGTAAACTTCTACCAGAATACACGGCGCTACAACCCAGAAGATAGCCACTTCAATGACAATGTTCTTCTCTACACTAAATAAAGAAAATTGCTTTCTTGTAAAACCAAATTTTCTAGAATAATTTTGCGAATTACCTTATTTCATCAATTTTCATACGACGTCGATTATAATGGGTTTTTTTCAGGAGAAAGGACGCTATATCGATACTTAGACGCCATCAAATGGAAGACGCGCCCAGATTTCAGAAATGTGCGTCTTAAAATCGACGAATTACGACATTTTGAATCTTTTATAGCATCGTGGCTCTCCGCGGCTGAAATAATCAAAGACGCCAATGGATAAACAAATGTAAACAACAATGAGATTAAGCAGACACACGCACATACGACAAAATCCTTCCCTAACAGAATTATACAGTAAA